TATATATATATATATATATATATATATATATATATATATATATATAGGGAATGGTTCAAACGAGAACACCTTCATTTTACGAGAATACAAGAACACCCTTTTACTATAGACAATCAAATGTGATACTATTACTCCATCACATATGATACATATGTGATACTAAATTAGAGATGCAGATGATTTTCGACGCTATCTTGGTTACGAGCCATGTCGACCTTACACCACTAAGCTCCCTCACAAATATTATCACATGTGATAAGGGTGTTGTTGATATGATACTATAATTCATCAAGACCATCACATGTGATGCTAAATCATAGACGCAGACAACTTTTGGCGCGACATAAGTCGTAAAACACATCGTTCGCACATCACAGGGTCTCATCACGCGTATTATCACATGTGATAAGGGTGTTCTCACGTTCTCATAAAATAGAGGTATTCTCGTTTGAACCTCCACACACACACATGTATATATATATGAAGGTTCAAACGATATACCTTTTGTTTTACGATAATACATTAACATATTTATCATATATGGTAATACACGTGAGAAAACATGATGATGTAAGAACGACTTAGCTTGCAACCTAGATTGCATTAATCTTTGATTTAATATCATATGTAATTGAATAAAACAAAAAAATGTTGATACATTTTCATAAAATAAATGCGTTATTTAAATGTTTATATATATATATATATATAATATTATATAGGGGTGTGTGTGTGTGAGAGGGAGAGAGAGATGGTGATTAAAAATGGTTGGCATAAATTAGAGAAACTTTATTTACTTGGCGGTGACGGAAGAATATATTCGTCCATTCACCTTTTAAAAAACTTGTGGTGGACTACTTTTCTTTTCCTCCTTTCTTTTCTTTCCTTCTCTTTTGGGACTACTTCTTCCCCCCATGCATTCCACGCTCTCTCGGTCCCCTTCTTCCTAACTCTATTTCTCATTTTTCTTTTACAAATTAACTGTTAGCTAAAAACACTTATTAATTAATAAGATAATCAATAACTAAGAAGTTATTTGATTAAAATATATTGATTTTGATTTTAAAATCTAATGTGTTACGATCTTTACTATCTCTCCAGTAGATTCTTCAAAATGGAAATTTTGGTTTCAACAGGTTTTCTAAAACTTTTTTCTAAAATAGAGAAAATAGGAAAACGACGGTGAAATTCTCCAAATTTGAAGAACTTTCATAAAAATGATTATTATAATCTTCAAAACTAAATGTTTAGTAGAGAAAAATAATATTTTATAAAATTGTATTAAATATTTTAATAATATAATTTCTAAGATAAAGTAAACGTAATTTTTCTGGAAAAATTGAATTTTTATTTCTTTATTTTAAAAACCTCCCTTTTAATGATACAATTAAAAAGTTGCAATGATAAAGCTATAAATTTATCTACTTATCCATCACTTTTTTTTTGAAAGAAAAATACTTACCCAATCATTTAGAAACAATAATAAAGGGTCGTTTACTAAACGTTTACTTGATATGTGTTTATCGGATATATTTTTTCATCGAATGAACATGATAAAGGCAAAGAATCTTACCGGGTAAGAGCGATGAGAAAGATGAAGAGTCTTACCCGGTAAGTGAAGATGACGAATCTTACCCAAGTAAACACTTACCCGATAAATTATTGCATTCAATACGTTTTGATATACTAAAAATCTTAAGCATCGGGTAAATGGCGCTTCAAGTTGGTGATAAATATGTATGTATCATGTATGCAATTTATTTTGTAAAAAACACATATTATTCGAAAATAAAAACTATGGTCAACTTATGGTGATGGTTAATTTGTATGAAAAATGTGATGTTATTAGTTTATGGAATTTCTTGAACCGAAGCTCTTCAATGAGTCAATTCGCCAACTCCTCACCCGTCTTGTCCACTCAATGTCCCTCATGCTTATCCCTATCCATGGCCATCCGCCATTGGAGCCATGGCCGTCCCCACCACCTCCACCACTTTTTTTCTCTTTCAGATACTTAAAAAGCCTTCCCGCCTGCAATCATCACCTCCCTAAACCCCATACCTCCATCTTCCTTTCCCTCTAAAAAAACCTCATACCCACACACACAAATTTCAATTACAGAAGAAGAAATAAACTGCGTACCTGCATTACTTTTGAGGAATGAAATTGCCCTTCATTTCGTCCCAAAACAATCTCTATTCTGTCGATAACGTCGGTAGTAATCGCTACGAACCGAAATCTGTTCTTGACGTTCGTCGGAGTCCGCCCAGTCCGATAACCGGTAATTCGTCGGAGTTCAACTCCATTGATTATAATTATAACAGTGCGGTGTTATTATCTTCAGGGGAGCAGTTGCCGGTGGAGAATTTTGAACATGAAATGATCAATCAGTTTGAAGAATGGGATTCTGATTCTCTGATAAGAGAATTGGGGCTTTATGATGATTCTACAAAATCTGCTTACCCTCTTGATCTTCCCGAGCTCCCGCCCTTCTTCCACTCAGATTTTGAAAGCTTGAACCCAAACACGAACCAGAACCCCTTTGATTTCATGAGCCATGATGATGATGATGATGGAAACGAGTTCGATTTTAGGGACGAGCTGATCCGGTTAGCCGAGTGCTTTGAAACTCAGTCTTTCCAGCTGGCGCAGATGATATTGTCGCGGCTCAATCAGCGTCTGCGTTCACCCAACGGAAAAGCGCTTCAGAGAGCTGCCTTTTACTTCAAAGAAGCGATTCAGTGTCTACTCACCGGGCCAACTCGGAGGTTTCAGACTTGTACATCGTATGAGATTGTACAAGTGATTAAAGCGTACAAGATGTTCTCCAACGTGTCGCCGATTCCGATGTTCTCTAGCTTCACCGCCAATCAGGCGATCCTTGATGCGGTGGACGGTGCGATGATTGTCCACGTTATCGATTTCGACATCGGCCTCGGCGGTCAGTGGGCGTCGTTCCTGAAAGCGATTGCGGAGAAGGCGGAAGCTCGGAGGATTACTTCACCGGTGGTGAGAATCACGGCGGTAGTTCCTGAAGAATACGAATCGGAATCGAGATTGATCAGAGAAAATCTACATCAATTCTCTTGCGATCTAAAATTACGGTTTGAAATCGATTTCATCTCCATTCGAGCATTCGAAATCTTATCCTTTAAAGCAATTAAGTTCATGAGTGGAGAGAAGACAGCTGTTCTTCTTTCGCCAACGATTTTCCGACGAATCGGCCCTGGTTTCATCAACGATCTCCGGCAAGTCTTGCCGCACATGGTAGTATACGTGGACGGCGAATTGATCGGGTGTGGAACGTCGTTTTTCCGTCAAACGGTGATCGACGGTCTGGAATTATACTCGACGATACTAGCATCATTGGAGGCGGCGAATGTTGGCGGTGGTGCCGGAGGAGGTGACTGGATAAGGAATATCGAGATGTTCGTATTGCTGCCGAAAATAATCGCGGCGGTGGAGGATGCCGGGCGCCATGCGACGCCCTGGAGGGAAGCGTTAGGTAGGGCCGGGATGAGGCCGGTAGGGCTTAGTCAGTTCGCTGACTTTCAAGCGGAGTGTTTGTTACGGAGGGTACAGGTGAGGGGATACCACGTGGTGAAACAGCAGGCCGAGATGGTGCTTTGCTGGCATGGTAGGCCCCTTGTTGCCACGTCAGCGTGGACTTTTTAGTCAAAGTAGCTTAAAAATGTTCCACGTAGGCAATAAAATTACTACATGTATTGATGCAAT